GGTGAAAAAGGTGATGTTTGGGTTGCCTCGGGAGGAAGGCAGAAGGGGACCTTCCTTGACAGTTCATATCTAGGCTCTGGGACTTTGGTAAAGCCAGAGACAGAAAATAGCAGGGGCTCCAGGGCCTTGGATATGCCAAAGATCGGTGTGTACCAAGGCCAGGGTGGCCCCAGCTTCACTATCATGGGAGATCTGGGGAACTTGTTTTGAATTGTTGTGGACAAGAACAATTTTACTCACAGGTGAATATCATTTTAGGGTTACTGGGCAACTTAGGAAACTGAAGTTGCCTTTAAGAAGGCAAAGGAGTATTCAGGCCAAATTTTCTTCCTGTTAAGATTTCTTTGCACTTTCCCTACTACTTTGTTTTCCCAGGGATGTAGGAGTCCACCTTGGCCTTGGTACTGCATTCCCCAATGGGGCTGTTTCAGTGGTGGTCCCCCTCTCCCACACATTCTCTGGGCTTCAACACTCAGCCCTCCTCCATCTATGAGAAGGGACCTAAAGAATAAGAGATCTGTAGTAGGAACCTAAGAACAGGCATTTCAATTTAGATATGTATCCATTCTAACTGCAATATCTTTTGTGGAAGGAAGTCAAGCTACTTAAGACAATTTCCATAAGATCTGTCCTAGAAGAAAAGGTTCCATGGGGACAAGGTGAGAAAGCTGTTAACTGTTGTCTGGCCCTGAAAAGGTCGTAAGTCAGTAGCTGACCTGTCAGGGGAAGGTATAAAGGCTTTATTCATGCAGTTGCTGCAATGTTCTCAGCTCTCACAAAAGTGTTTTTATGATTCGATTTTCTTACCTCTTTGCTTAATTAAAAAGCTGAACCATTAGAATAGCACCTGCATCGAATCCTGACAGTGCCTGCATACTAATTTCAGAGCCTTTACAGCCAGTAATTATAACATAAAATCAGAGATTGAATAAAACAGAAGGATTTTGCTCCTAAAGCCCTGCTAATCCCCTTTTAAAAGGGTCTGGTGAAATAATTCAGAACAGTTTCCGGAAGTTGGATTACCATTCCTTTTATTATTTTTTTTTTTACTTTTTACAAAGAAATGATATTTCACACTTAAAGAAAGCTATTTTTCTACAATTTTCTTCTTTATATAGAAAGTTGGCAGGTTTTTGGACAATAGAAAATGTTTCAATGCAGATTCCTTGATTACTCAATGCAGTGGCAGAAAATGTAGAAAAATGTTTATGTACATTTGAAACACACTTTCTAAGGTGAAAGTGGCGGCAATGTGAATAGAAATTTCTTAATATGCTTCAGGGAACTCTTCAGTTCTCTAGGGGGAAATAATCAAACTTTCTGAAGGGCAGACCTATTTTTCATGGTTTAGAAATATTCACATTTTAGGCAAAATACTTCTAACCATTATGCTGGAAGAACGTTTTTAAATCCTTAACACAACTTCCACGGAACCCTGAGTAACTGAGATGTTGCAATGCTACAAGCAAAGGACTTTGAGCTCTCTGTAGGATCTTCAATTTTGGCAAAGAATACTCTCCTCATCTGGCTAATTTGATATTGGGTGGGTCAGTGAGTCTGTCACAGACAAGAGAAAACTGGATCATCCTTCTGAATCTATATCAATCATCTGATGATGTTTGTGGAAGATTATTTTTGTATCTTTTTGCCATCATTCCACAACTGCCTGGCATGTACATGTAATTACTCAATTCTGGTTTATTTCCTCTGGAGACATTCCCCAGCCTGACCATCCATTGTGAGGTTCAGAGCCATGTACCACCTTGTACACCTTGTTTTAAGTCAATCAATATCTTCACTCTACATTTGCATCATGTAGAATATACATTTATACTGCAAGGGGAAAAATGTGGGACAAGTTTCAAAGTCCTTCTGTCTGATCATATTTACATCTGATCAATCTGTACCCTAAAGTATTTTTTCTTTCTTTTCTGTGAAGCTGCTTTGCATATTTGTGAAGGCATCGGACCATTCAAAGACAAAACTCAGGACCTCTTCAACTTTCTTATAATTTTCTCTTTTTCCTAAATGACTTTGGGGTTTAAGCTTGACAACTTCCCTTAAAAACCTCCATTCATTTTCCTCATTAGAGATATCTAGATGAAAAGGTTATCCTCATGCCCAGACAGGAAGAATACTCTGTAGTTTACTGACAAGATATATTAATTTTCCCTGGAATGGAGATTTAGGAAGAGAAAACCATGACTGTGGGGAAAAAAAGGACCTGTTGCCTTCTTAGAAATAATGTACTTTTGTGTGGTTTTTGACCCAAAATGCAGTCTTCAGCTTTGCATCTGCTCGCTGTCACTTCACACTCATCCCCTCCACACACACAAACACCCAGGATAATTTTGCTGTTGTTTTTCCAGTTCTGGGGCTTGAACTCAAGGCCTTTGCACAGAGCTACATCCTTTTCATTTTTTTTTTTAAATTTTGAGACTGGATATAAATTACTCAGGTGCTGCTCAAACTTGTGATATGGCCGCCTCAGCATCCCAGAGGACTGGGATTACAAGCACCCACCACCACACCCCACTCTAACCAGAATTGTGAGAAGCCCCACATGGAACTCACAGTAAAGCACAGAAACTCATGACAAAAATAAATCAGCTTCTGGGCTGGCTGGCCAATGGACTTTTCTACAATGCCTTAACAGGGCATAGGGGTGACATTAAGGCTACTGGTTTCTTCAGCTTCATTCCATCCTGAAATAAACTCAGTTCTCTTTCTTTTTTCTTGGGCCTTTAAAAGATAAATTATATCTTTGCCTCAGTGTCTGCTTGCACCTGCCTCCGAGATTTTTAGAAAGCACAAATCCACCCCATCACCAGGACCCTCATCTATTTTCAGGGCTGCCTGAGGGAGGCGCAGGATACCCTGGAGCTTCCACTCCTAGAAAGCCACATTTTCTGGTCGGGCCTGGGGGTAACTGCTGTATTTGGTTCAGTGGGGAGCTACTGATGGAAGCATGGGTACTAGTAATAACAGCTAGCACTTAAGTAAGTTTTAAACATTTTAAAGAAGAATGTCATCTCTTCTTTAAAACATTTAAACTCCCAGAAGATAATACAGCCTGAGAAAATAAACTTGTGAAAGGGATTCGTTGTAATTCCTTATTACACACAGGGAACTGAATTAAAGGGCGGTTATCACTTACCTGGGGCAGGGGGTCAGTGCACGTACACAGGAGCTGACTGGCTCCTCCTACCCAAAGTCTTCCCACCAAGCCCGCACACTTCTCACCTAGTGCTCTGCTTCGGAATAGCAAAAGAGGGGACAGGAGGGGGCTGTCACTGGTAAGCCAAGGTTCCCCTACGTGGCCCAGGCCAGTGTACACTGTCTGTTGAGAGGTGGGTGACTTCCTGAGAATAAGTGAGGCTTGGTATGGGCACTTGGGGACAATCAGTTCCATTCTCTGGTCAAAGGTTACACCCTTCTCGTCCCACCATCCCCTCGAAAGAGGCTAGGGCTGGAAAGAAGTCTGAGGTCCAGTGGCCAGGAGCTGTGGTGTCCCCAGCACTGCCTGTTTCTCCCTACTCCCTTGATTTCTCCGCCTTAGTGGGGACTCGGCAGATTCAAAGGCGGTTCCTTCCTTCTCCACAACCCCAGTGTGGGCTATCAGAGGCGTCACCCCTTCCAGCTCCCTTCCCTCTCCATGCTGTCCAGTGGCCGTGTGATCTCTTCGCCACCGGTGATCTCGCGGTTCGGCACTGTCTGGACGGGAAGAGAAGGTGCAAGTGGAAGGGTCGGGTTGTGCAGAACCCGGCCAGCGCTACGGCACAGACTCCAGGCAGCCGAAAGGAGCAGAGAGCCGGGAACCACGACGGAGCCCAGGCTGGGAGTGCGGGCTTATTCCCAAGCGTCCCCACGCCCTAGTGCTTGGGTCGGGAGAGGGCTGCACCCAGCACGCTCCCTCGCTCCCTCGGAGAGGCAAGGTCCAGAAGACCAAAGCTACTGAAGCCCTTCCAACTGGTCACTGAGCCTGAGGGAAGGGAGGGAGGAGGGTCTAGTTCTTGTGCCAAAGTCCACAGGCCTCCCTCCGGGTTCCCTCCGATTCTGCACGCCTCGGTATCCCCTCCTAGCGTTTTTCACACCCCCGCTTCGCTCTAGCGCCTTTGGGATCTAGGGTCCTTTCTCCTACAGGTCTCTCCAGCACTGCAGCCGTGGACCCTAGCGCTAGTTCTCCCCTGAGTCCTCTAAGGGATCTAGCACTCTCACCCCAGAAGCTGCCCCCCTCCCACTGCGTCCAGACCCCTCCGGAGCCGAGCTGGTCAGAGCCAGCTCCTCAGAAACTGAAAAGCAGCGAGGCTTGTAGCGCCGACGGTACGGGAAGAAGAGGCTCTGGGATCCCAAGGCTCCGGGGCTACAGTGAAGGCCGGGAGGATGGCTCTGCTGAGCCAGGCGATTCTGATACATTTGAAACAAGTTCCCCAGTGAAGGCCAGATAAGGGGGGCACAAGCATCGGATGCTAAATTCCACCAAGACGCCAACTACAGTCCAAGGAACTTTAGCCTTTATCTTAAGGGTCCAGCCTTCGCAGAGGTCTACCTAGCCTCGAACCCGGGGAGGGGGGCAGGCAGGATCTAGCCAGAGAGATCCCGGAGGGCAAGTGTGCCTAAGGCGCTCCTTCAGGTTCTGGCCCGGCTAGGAGCCAACTCGCCCCTTTTTCTCTCCTGGTTTTGACTCCTACCAGGTACTAAGCTTCCCTCAGGAAATTCAGAGCTGGTCCCTGAGAGGATGGGAAGGCACCCTTTCCCCGCAGCTGTGAGAGAAGCACCTCACCCTGTTCCCTTCTGTGATGGTGATTGGTTGATGATGTCAAGGTCATTTGGGGTGAAGTTGGGGCCAGAGTGCTCTCTCCCACCAGCGCCAGTTTGATGGGACCCTCTAAGTCCCAAAGATGTTTCTGTCAAACAGTGAGGACCAAGTAGAGGACTGGAGGCTGTGCCAGGGCCCCATAACTCTCTCAGTTTGATGAAGCAACAACAGTACACATACATTCAAAAGAGAAAACAAACACATCATTTATTTCCAAGTAAAATAGCTGAATGCAGCTGCATGTACACAAAGTCCTTTGGAGGGAAAAAGAATCACAGGTTTTTATTTCATTTACATTTACATACTCCAAGAAGATTAAGTCTAGACTTTCACCTTTTTCATTCAACAATCACTTTCAGTCAAATACATAACAACTTTTCTCTTTCAAGTTAGTTCGTAATTTAACTGTTATTAAGAGGACAAATGATAAATCACAAACAGTGTGGATAGAGAAGGTACCAAATAGTCTAAGGTTTCACTCAGGCTTTTGTATGCATGTGTGTATGTGAATTATCATTACAAAATGTTTGCCTGTCTGTATAATTCACATTCATTGCAATCATTACATTTTCTCATAAATTAGCGATATAAACAAACATATGGAGACCTCCAGTAAACAAAGAAAATCAATATAAGAGACAACATTTTGCAGCAACTATAATAACAGCATGGGTTACAGCTTGGGGAAACTTCTTTACAAATCATTTAGTCAGCACACACAGGGTGGGGTGTTTATTTAAACCACCTTTAAATCTACAAGAGGAGGTTGAGAAAATTTGCAGAGGATGAAAGTTTCTTTCTGGGTACAATATAAAATGTAGAATTGCACAAGTTGATAAAAGGAGAATGGACATTTGCATGCACTTTTTGGTCACTATCCTATAGACCAAACCTTCTGAGCTCCCATTGTCAAGATTGTGGAGAAAACAAAAAATTATTAAAACGTTTCACTCCCTCAAGCCACTGTCCTTTTTGGTTAATGGCAAAAAGGATTTGCTAACTGCAGCTAGTGGGAAGAAGCACAATGGACTTATTTTTAGCAGAGGTGCCTTTGAAGGAACAGGAGATGGTAAAAATTGCTTGGTTAAAACCTTAGCTTTCCAGAATCTCAGGCAAGAATATCCAGAACCTGAGTGGTTTCCAAAGGAAGCTCATCCAGGTGACCCAACCTGGGCTGAGGGCATGCAGGTCAGAGCAGAAAGCAGCAGGCACACAACTGTGGCCTTGGGGTACATATCCTCTGCCTGCACCCTCTGCCCTCTTTTCTCCAAGTCCCACAACTGGTGAAGAGCCCCCCGCCCCAACATCTGCACACTTCACCAGGTCCTGACCCTGAGGGTTAGGCAGTGCTTTTGTTTTTCCCTTAGCAAGACTTATGCTTAAAGTTGTCTATTGGTGTAGTGTGTAGATATTTTTTAAAAAGAAGTTTGATTTTATCTCTTTAGAAACGGTTTGAAACTAACGGGCCAGAGGGAGTTTGACAGAGAGGAGAACAAATCGCTGACAAAGAACCCTTTACGTTTCATCAGCGTTGTTAGGACGACAAGAAGGAATGTCTCAGATAATAACTCCCACTTCAAAGATTTCTCAGCTCAATAGAAAGCGGACCATCCTTTTTATTCAATCACAAGGACTGCCACTAAAGAAGACTCCACTGTTTGATTTTTTTTCCACTGTGTTTATTTTTCCCCTATTCACTGGGGTACTTGGATAAAATAAACAACAAGACAATTAAGAGAACATGGACTTCTAACTTTCCTGCCATCTTCCCCATCCCCTTGGCCTTGGGCTTTTGAGTTTGTGCCCAGGACCAGCCAAGGCCTAAGGATACTACACCCCCACCCTGGGGAGAAAGATGTTTAGGGGTCTGCAAGAGATTTCAGGGATGGAGGGGCAGCAGGGTAGAGCTGAGAGCCAGAGTGTTTTGTGTTTTGTTGTTGTTGTTTTTGGGTACCCGGGGATCGAACTTGGGACCTAGTTCTTGCAAGGCAAGCACCAGAACCACTGAGCTAAATCCCCTGCCCTGAGAGCCAGAGTGGAAATGTCCCTAGGGCATAGTCTGAACTCCCTGGAACTGGCTCAGGATGGCCCTCTTTCCCATAGTTCCGCTCAAATTCAAACCTACATCCTGCTGGAGATGCTGAGGGGCCTTATGCAAAAACTGAACTAGGGGCTTTCATTTGTTAAGCTTCAGACGTTGCTCTAAAGTCATTTACTCCTGACCCTGGAGCCTCTTTGGGGCACAGTCAAGATGCACGGAGTCCGGCTCCTCTCTTTCCTGAAAGAGTCCCAGGCGACAAAGCCCCCTACATCAGGGTGCAGGTGAACCCCTAAACGTGGGCGAGGCAGGTCCTAGAGAGGAAGTATATACTGGAGAGCACAGTGACAGTATTAAATGGAGTGAAAGCAAAGGTCAGCGCAAATGTATCTTAATAGAGTGTCTGCAGTGAAGTGTGCCGCCTTTGAAGGGGCCGCTCCCCGCGCGCATTTCCATGGCGAGCCTAACGCGGCATGCTGATGCACCGTCAAACTCACACTTTCAACCCCAAAACCCAACTCTTTGAACAACCCGAGCTTGATTAGACCTTTCTCCTTTTCTTTCCCCTCTTACAAACCATTTCCTCGCCTTTAGAAACTCGCCATCAAACCCAAATGCGCCCTCTGATCACCGCAGAAAGCAGAAACAAAGAGGGCTGTGCAGCGATTCAAGCGGCCCTTTTCTTCCTTCACATTATTATCCATTTTTATTATGATCGGGAACAAGTGCCCATTCGCGTGGGTTTTGTTTACCGGAAATTAAATGAAAATGATTTAGTCCGCGTCAAACAAAAATATATACTTGTATACACAAGAAAAAAGGCCTGTTAGACGTAAATATTATGTCCTTAATGAAAAGCCTGGACGGGCTCCAGGCTCGGCCTTTCAGGATTTCAGTGCGACTTGCCCATTGCCATAGAAATCCTAACTTACCATGAAGATGCACCGTGGCGAAGAAACACTGCTTTGTGCGCGGGGCCCTTTGATGTCGTAGGCACGAGATGCAGGAGCTCAGCTGCGCAGGGTGAGATTACCTTGCGAACGACGCGGTGGACATCTGTAACAAGCAAATGAAAAATTAAAAGCGATTAGTAATCTACTAAACATTTTTTATTTCATTTCATTTTGGGGGTTGGGGTGGAAGACAAAATGGGGTGCTTAGGAACGGGAGAGCAACGAGTCTTATTGGTAGAGGGGCACTTTGCAAACATCGGCCAAGGCAAGTTCGGTGGATGTCCTTGGCGCCTGGGTAGTGGGGCTGGTGTTTCCGCTATGGAGTCGAGATTTTGCTCCACACTGCTGTGCTCGGCCGGGCGGCCTCTGCGAGCTATTGTAGTGGGGTCGAGGAGGGGATTGCATTCTCCCTTTCTCAACCACAGATTCATCAAAGATGTAGGTGGAAAATTCCGGTTTTTATTAGTGGTAATAAAAACTGCCTTATTCCACTTCAATCCTTATTTTATATTGGTTATTTTAAATGATGCAAGTTGTGCAGGGTGGAGGAGACAAGTGATAGTAGTTGGATGGAGTCTGAAGAGGAAAGAATAGAAGAAAATCCAGCAGCCTGACAGACCCAGATATGTATACTCCAGCTTTTATTTGCTGGAGACTGGTCTAAAGGCCATAGGAGTGTCAGGCAAGTGCTCTACCACTGAGCTACATCCCCAGCTTCAGGACCTACCTTTTAAAATTGAGCTCCTTATGGGGTTCCCCTAGCAGAAAACATTAACCCCCTAGTTACACTTGTTTCCGAATTCTCAGGGAATTGGGATGGGTCTATCAAAGGTTTCTTTGTTTTCTACTTCTTGTATTTTTTCTTCAAATCTTAAGCGAGAGAGTTTGGGGGCAGCCTCATCCTCCCAGTGGAGGGTGGCAGATGAAGAGACAGGTGCGGATTTTTTGTTTCCCCTTTGGTAATGATTGCAAAAGCCTTCCACTCCCCCACCCCCAACATCTGGTTCTTTTTTCTGGTGATTTCATACTCAGCTTATGAAATACACATTCAACCGAGCCCCACTGGGTGTTTGCCTTCACAATATTTATTATAGCTTATTTTTCATAGCCCCCTTCAATGTAAGTCAAACATTAGTTGTGGTTTTTATTTAAGCACTGGGGATTGAACCCAGAGACTTGCACATGTTAGGCAAGCATTCTAGCACTGAGTTACTCCCCCAGTCCTATTTATTTATTTGAAGAGAGTCTCACTAAGTTGTCCAGGTTGACCTTGAACTTTTGATCTTCCTGTCTTAGCCTCTTGAGTAACTTACATTATACTGTTTGGTTTTCAACAAAAGCTATCACTTTCACCCAGACACTTGCCTACATCTAGCACTTTGGCTCTGGAGGCCTGGACTCTGATGTCATCAGCCAGCTCCACACTCCCAGCCCAAGTATCCACAAGATTTCACAGGCAGGGCCTGGACATGCGTGAGGCAGGAAAGGGACCTTCAGAGGCCTCACAGCATGGACTACTGAAGCCTCTCTATCACTCTTTTGTCTGGATTTCCCATTGTTTAGGACTCACTGACTACCTCATGTATCCCAGGTGCATCCAGTCTGTGGACATACAGATAGGCAGACAGATGTATCTGTATAGGGGCCAATTTTGCTTGTGGAAGAATAGGAACACCCTCTGATCTCCTTTATAGAACTGACTGGAAACTTTGGTACATGGTGGTTTTTTAAAAAGGATAGCTGAGGAAGAAGAAAGTGGAGGGCAGCAAAAGAGAAAAGAAATGAGAGGCAAGAAAATGACTGTGGAATTTTGTCTGCCACTTTTCAGTATTTAAACTTCAGACCTGGTAAGAGGAGGAGGCACAAAAGGGAGGGTCTGACTAAGAGTAAGGAAGGGAGCAACCCAGATCATAAGGGAAATATTTCCCATTCTGTGAAGCCCTCCAGGACTTAGTGGCTGTACTTATATCACCTGCAGTTGCCAGAATTGCACAAAAATTCTAATATGTATTTTGTTCAATCTGTCAGTCTCTTTATCCCCAACATTGGTTTCAGGTTAGCCATGAGAGCAAGAGTAGTAGTCAGAACAGGGGTGGCGGTGCAGGGTGAGACTGTAGAATAAATGTGGTACCTTATTTACGTTTTTAAAATAAGGAACATGATCTCAGCATATTCAACGACCTCTAGGAAGTTTTAGTGGTGGCCTGCCTGCTGCCTGCCTGCCTTTCTTTCATTTCCTCCTTTCTTCTTGTCTCCTGCTCTCCCCTCCCTCCCTCGCCTCATCCCTCTTCAAGCCTCAGGAACCCGGGGCGTAGGCTCGCGGACGGTGTACGCTGCAGAAGCAGCAATCACAGAAACAGCCCTAATCCTGGAGGCGGCGGCGGCAGCGGCAGGGCCAGGAGGTGGCGCGGGACTGGGGGGCGCGGCAGGGGCAGCCGCAGCGGGGCCCGCTCCCTGACACACGTACCATTCGCTCAGGTCCGTGCCACGCACCACCACCGCCCCTGAGGAGGCCACCAGGGGCTCATGGCCGCAGTCCGACGAGGGCGACAAGAGGGCAGACGGGGTAGCTGAGTCGTAGCCAGAGCCGGGCGGCGGGGAGCGACCATGCACCTTCATGTGCTTACGCAGAGAGCTGGGGTGCGTGTAGCACTTGTCGCAGCCGCGCACCTTGCACGTGTATGGCTTGTCGCTCGTGTGCACGTGCGAATGCTTCTTGCGGTCGCTGCTGTTGGCGAAGCGCCGCTCACAGCCCTCGAATTCACACCTGAAGGGCTTCTCGCCTGGCAGAGGCAACGCAGAGACGTTAGTGCGCGTGGGCCGAGTCCCAAGCTCACGATCGCGCCCCACCCCCCTGTTTTTCACTTTCTGCAAAAGAACCGTGAAAGTATTTCAGAAATCCTTTTCCCGCGTGCCTCGGGTCCAGTAGCCTTATCCCCAGCTCAGAGAGCGCCCCGCGCCCCGCACCCCTCTCCTACACGCCTCCGCCCCTCCCCCTCTCCAGCCTGGGCCCTAGAGGGAGGGTAAGGGGGAGGAGCGACCATGACTCCATTTTAGTCGAGTTTCCATTCTCGAAAATCCTGATCTATTTGGGTTGTTTTCTTCCACATTTTATCCACTCAGTCCAGAAGCACCTTTGCCTTGAATATAGAGTTGACTAAAGGGCTCACATCTGCTCGATTTAAAGTCGCCATTCCAGCCAAACGTCTCTGTCACCACCGCCCCCTCTCAGCAGTCCACCGCGCACACACCCCAACCTGGCCCAAACAGTTTCTTGAAGTAGGTCTTGTGCAACTGCCAAGGCAATGAAATAATTTAAGAGGATAGAAAACCCATGCTTCCAGCGCGCAAGGTGGGTTCTTGCTTCAGGAAAAGGTATTTTAGACAATGATTCACCTCAAAGGCGGTTTTTCCCTTCCACCTCCCACCCTCCCCAGGGCAAACAAACATTTACCAGCATTCTTCAAATCTTTCCTAAGCCATTCCAGATCCCTTTGATATGTTCGCCCGCAATAATATTTTATTACACTGCAGCGCCCCCGAGACACTGTCGCGTGTAGCTGGTGCCTCAGTCCAAACTGAACTAAGTCCTCAGACCACCCCCACCCCGCGGCTGGACCTCGCGAGCCTGAGCCACAGGCCAGAGCGGAAGGATCCTTCCAGGCCAAGTGGGATCTGAAGTCCCCCCGCAGTCGCTCCCTCGAGCGCCGCAGCTTCGGAATGAGCGCAGCTGCAGCGGGTAGCTGAAGTTCGGCTCCGCGGAGCACAGGGCAAGCACTTGGCCTGGAAAGACCCGCTAGGGACTCGGATCGGTGGCTGCGATTCCTGGTGGAGCCGAGGGAAGGCGCGAGCCCACATTAGTGTCGAAGTATTGGCCGAACCAAGCCCCAGTCGGGGAGCTCCCTGCCGCCTGAATTAGCAGGCAAGTTGGGGAGGAAAGGACCCCGAGAACCCGGAAGCCCAAGTTCCGGCCGGAGCTGCAAATGCTGCAGAAATGGGGGTGGGGCAGAGGGGTCTGGGAGATTTAAACAAACGAACGTCGCCAGGCGCTCTGCGTTGAGGGAACCGATACCTAGCTCCTAGTCGAGGAGCGAGAGGTGCAGGACTGAAGTGCCGCTGGCTTTGTGGTTGTTTCTCCCGCTGCTTCCAGGAAACACAGAAGCTTTCTGGCAGGTTTGAACAAACAAAGCCTCAGTTCCCGAGCTCTGTTGAGGCAGAGGTTTGCACACGATCTGCTTCTCCACGCAGGCAGTGGCATGGGAACCCAGAGCTGTGGCATCGCCCAGTCGTAGGATTCACCGCCTTCGGTAATATCGGTAGCACACTAGGCCCTTTGGAAGGTGCTGGCCTCTGGTTTGACGGAGCACCGACATCATTTTTATGAAAAAGTGGGAGAAAGATTCGGAATAAATATCCTCATTTGCCCCTCTTTTTCTTCCCTTTGATCCCTCCTATCAGCATCTGCAAACCCAAAACTTTCCTTCCTTCCTTCCTTCTCTTTCTGAAACCACAAAAAAAAAAAAAAAAAAAAAAAAAAGGCGCAATTCAGGGCCTGAAAACGTAAGCAAGATTTTTCTTAGGAAACAGGAGGAATAGAATTTGAGGCCGATTCCTCTTCGCGGGGTGTGTATGTGTGTGGGGGGGGTTCTGTCACACATTTATCCAATGTAGTGAGCGGCCTCGTTGGACATTAATGTAAAACAAAATGATTTCGCTCCAGACGAGGAGGAGAAGAGAAAACAGCAGAGTACTGAGGTGTTTCTGGCGGCCAGGAAATTCGCAGGCCCTCGGGAGGCCAGATGAGGCCGCGCCCCGGAGCTGCAGGAGGCGCCCCGGTCTCCTTGTATGACACTCTGTCCCCCTCCCCCGCCGCCAACACCCGGCCTCCTACCCTCCCCTCCCCCAGGTCGGGGCGCTGCACCCTGGGTGGGTGGATGAATGTGGTGTGCCAAGCTGGGCCCCTGCAGCCCGCCCGGCGCGGCCTGCGCCGGAGACTGCGCTGCGAATCTCCCAGAATCTCCTGCCGGGCTTCGCGGCGGGAAAGGCTTTCTTCCCGGGCCTGAGCCAGGCTCGCACCGCAAAGTTCGCGAGTGTCGGAGCAGCCCGGCCAGCGCCATTTTCTCGCACTTGTGGCTGGCTCTGGTTTTCCCGGTGACTCCGCCCCGGCGCGATCTCGCCTCTATCTAGGATCCTTGGCCCTCTCTACCGGCGGTTGGCTGAGGTGGGGAGCCCCGAGCCGCAGGGTCCGGGGAGGGCGCCGCGCTGCTGGGTGGGGGCAGAGCGCGGCTGCCGCCCGCGCCTCCTCGCCACGGTACCATTGTTCCAGGATCGCCGTGACTACCACAAAGTGAAACCTTTCGGCTTGGGCTGCCGCCTCTAAAGCCAGGCCTGGGATTCAGATCCGCGAAAATCTCAACTTCTGAGAAATCTGCTCCTGTTCGCCGCTTCCGCGACTTGAGGAAATGAAATGCCATTAATATTTGAAAAGGCGATTATTTTCCTGTTGCATCGAGAACTGTCTTCATGAATAATTTGTAGTGAGGTCTATTGCCATTTGAGAAACATTTTCTCTGTCTCTGTCTCTCTTCTCTATCATTACTTAGGAGGGGGATTTGAGGGAACCGCCGGAGCAGGAGAGGCTCTGTAGACTTTTTTTTTTTTTTTTTTAATCCAAGCAGTAATGAATTAAGACTGGGCGAAAAGAACGCACAAAATTCTGCTGTGAATAGATGTAAACCTGAGAGCCAGCCCCAGAGCGCTGAACTTGCTTCTCTGCTGTAGGTCGATTGCGCTAAGAATTTAACCATTTTCTGCTTCACAGGCTTCAAACAGTGGGCCAACAAAGAGCAGTAAAAGTTTGTTTGTTTTAAAAACCCTGTCATTAAAGATGAGTTCCTTCTTCAGCTCAGGACTGCGCGTCTACCTTCTAGGTCCCCGGCAGCCAGCTCCTGGTGTGGCAGGCCTGCATGCATGTGGGTTTCAGGGATGTTCTCCTGCTCTCCCCCGGGGTTACCCCGAAACAGGGGCAGATGCGTTTGAGAGGGTGGGTGCCCCCAGAAAGAGCCCGAGAAAACCGCATGGTTCCAGAAATGAACTACAGGATTCAAAGTGGACTTTGGTCTTGCCAGTGTTTGCCAGTGTGCTAGCCCTGGACCTGCAGGTCCAGTGAACGAAGAAGTCAGAAAGAGATTTAGCAAGCTTCTCTCTTCAGCACTACTAACCTAGGGCAGTTCTTTCACTCTAATGATGGTTCCTGTTCCAGGAAATACAGAAATGAGCAAAGCAAGGTGCAAGATAGTGGAAGTGGAGCACCAAGCTAGAACTTATTCAATCTTCTTTCTCCACGAGTTCCTTTTTCTTGCCCCCAAAATGGGGAAGGAGAGAAGATGTTGACCTCTTAAACCTCGAGGAATTGGGAGAAGTAAGGAGAGTACAAACAATGCCTGCTAATTAATGTAACTTCACAGGCTATTCTGGAAGTGTGGAAACTTTCTTCCTTCAATTGTATTAATTAGAGATGCTTCTGACCAAAAGAGTTCAACTTTGCAGGCTCTTGTGTGGAGCTCCTTTTCTTCCTGTTAACTGGAACTAACAGATGTGGTTGACACATGTCCCTATTTCACTTAACAGCTCTGTAAATGACATTTAAGGTGGATGGTTCCCATTGGGTCTCTGCTAAAATAAGAGTGAGGGTTAGCAAAACGTGCCTACTATTAGAGCAGCAAGGCTAAGGAAGAGGGGCAAAAGTTAACCCATGAGACCCTCAAATTTTAGAGAAGGAACTAAGGGTCTGATGACCCCTCAGTCTAGGTGCTGATCAGTTTGTCCAGCCAAAGGGAAAAGAGTTCCGTGACAGGATTCCAAAGGGAAGGAGAAAAGTTAGGCAATTGTTCCCATGTCTTGTAGACTTGGAGGAACAGCGCTGTTTTTTAAAATGCTTTAAAATCAAAGTACAGGGACTAGGATGGTTGCTCAGAAGTAGAGCGCTGACCCAGGATTCCTGAGGCCCTGGGTTCTATCCCCTGTACCTGGGGCAGAGCAGGGGGGGCGGATCAGACTCCATAAGCAAGGGGCACCATTTACCCTTGTCCCCCAGCTCAGAAATCTTGCAGTATCCTCCCTGCACTCAGCCTCCGGAAACTTCTGTGATTCTAAGAATAGAAGTGCATAATTAATATTTTATGAATTCGGCTCATGGAAACAATAACAAAACACCTCCCTCCTCCCCTCATTTGGAATTTGAGGAAATCCAGGCTTCAGGGCCTGCTTCCCCAAAAGGTCCGCACGAGACAGCGCCAAATACTGACCTGTGTGAGTTCGTTTGTGTATTTTGAGATTTTCTGATCTAGCAAACACCTTCCCACACCCCGGGAAAGGACAAGGGAAGGGCTTCTCGCCCGTGTGCACGCGGATGTGATTTACAAGTTTGTATTTGGCTTTGAAGGGCTTGCCCTGTCGCAGACACTCCTCCCAGAAGCAAATGTGGTTGGCCTGCTCCGGGCCGCCGACGTGCTCCACGGTGACGTGCGTGACAAGCTCGTGCATGGTGCTGAAAGTTTTGGAGCAGAGGCGTGGGGGCACAGGGCCATCGGCCGCCAGCCACTTGCAGATGAGCTCCTGTTTGATGGGCTGGCGCATGTATCGGAAGAAGGCGCCAGGGCCGTGGGGCGCGGCGAGGTTCACGGTCAGGTTCATGCCGCCGTAGCCGTGCAGGGCTGCGGCAGCTCCCAAGGCGTCGCTGTGGGCCGTGGGCCCTGGCGCAAAGGGCTCAGGCCTGGCGTACATGTCTCCAGGGAGCCCCAGACGCAGCAGTCCGTTCAGAGGACGGCTGTGGGAGGCCTGGTGAGGCTGCTCATGAAGGCCTGGGTACACCGAAGGGCTGGAAGCGGCGGAGAGCTGGGGGCCATGGTGTCCGGAGATGCTACCTGTTGTCGAGACAAATAGCTCGCGTGAGAACGGTGGCCGTGGGCTGCTCGCTTCCCCGGGTCCCGGGGGGCAGGCCCAGCCCAGCCGCACCTCGGCTCTACGGCTCTACCGTCAGCGCAGGGATCAAGAGGCAGTCGACGCCAGTCTTGAACACTGCGGTGAGAGCGAGGCCAAACGCCTGCGCCGCGTTCTGGCTGGGCTGCTGTTCTGCGAAGTCCCCTGCCGCGCCATGAGCTAGAGAGGGAAGGTGGCGGTTGGATAAGTAGAAGGGGCAGTAGTGGAGAGGACAGCAGGGCTGAGTTTGTGGGTTGGGGGGGGGCAGCCTCTGCTCCAGAGGGTTTCGACCCGCGACTCAAGTATACTTTGGCGGCCAACACTCCGGGGAGTGACACTCTGCCCAGGAGTGGAGGTGACAAAAGTGGTGATGTTGAAGGTGGTTATTAGGAGATGGCGGTGCTTCGGAAGAGCCTCAGCCGTGCATATTAATTTCAGTGGCCCGCTGGAAGGGGAGAGAGAGGCTTGCCATCCCGGGCCGGAGCTCCCAGTGCTGGTTGCTTAATCCACTGTCACCTGACGATGGGGCGAAAGGACAACCTCAAAAACGAGCAAAGCGCTGGGGGGTTTTCCCCCCAAGTTTTGGGTTTTGGCTTTTCTCCCCTTCCTCTGTCTGTGTCTTTATGCCTACATGAAATCCTGTTCACTATAGAGGCAGCAGCAGGACGCTTGAAGAAATGAATAGAAATTTGGGGCCATGGCCGGGGCCCAACGCGAGGAACAATCGCCTAGGTTGCCCATTGGCCCACCGCCCAGTCCAACGTCAGCAGTGACAGGTCCGGGCTCACAGGGCGCGAGCGCGAGCTCTCTCTCTCTCTATCTCTCTCTCTCTCTCTCTCTCTCTCTCACACACACACACACACACACACACACACACACACGCGCGCGCGCGCTTCCTTCACCCTCTACCCCCACCCCAACAGCATTTCTTGCTTCTACTGCTCATGCGCTCTGACCCAGACATAGATTCTTTTCTCTTCTCTTTAGCCCCCTCCCCTACTCTCCTGAAAGCTGGGTGAATCATCTTTGCCTCATGGCCCCTGGAAGTGAGCGAGGCTGGGTTATGCCTCGTTCGTTCGTTCACCACGACCTGAGGAGAGGTGTTGGACTGCGTGTAATGTCCTGGGGCAGATCAGGGTACCCAGATGGTCCAGGAGGATGGGCAGCACCAAGGACACAGCTATGTAGGTCTGCTTGGGAAATTTGTCCTAGGAGCTGGGAAGAGGAAGGGATAGAGATCCAACAGCGAGCAGGAGAGTACAGACAAGGTTCTCAGGAGCAAAGAAACTCCTAGCATAGCAGTCCTTGAGCCCAGCTGTATTTTTTCAGTTTCCCCCAAATTTCACTTTCCTCCATCTACCTAGTACTCTTTCTAGCTCTCACTTCCTCTAAACCCCCTGCCATCTTTGGGCTTCCTTCCTGTTTTCTTCACCCCTGCCCCCCTTTGCTTTCTATTCTTTCTCTATTTAGTCTTGTGGGAATGGTGCCCTCAGAGCCAGTTGCTGCCACTGAAGAACACCAGAACTGGGCCCGAGGCAGTGATGGCCTGGCAGAGGCTGGTCCCTGAACTCACCTCAGGACCTTCTGAGAGGGCCCTTTGAAACGCATGCACAGGCTCAACTAAGAGGAATAGGTCCTTCCACTTAGGGCTGCCTAGACCCATCTCCGGCCCTGAGCTCTGTAACCAGATGGCAATTTTGGGGAAAAAACTGGGGAATCTCTCCATCTTTCAGCTCTGGCCACTTGTTGCCTTCAGGCCAAGCCTCTGTCCCTATCTTTGCTCAACTTAGGGTAATATATTTATATATACCACATTTTGCAGGCTCTATTAGAGAGGCCTACTCACCCTCTAAGAGCCTGGACAGAGAGAAACACCAGTGAGGTGCTGTGAGAGACGGTCAGCTGAAGCAAACTTTCAGTTCTGGCCCAGTCGAGTGTGGCGTAAACACAAGGGAGTGTCCTTTGTCTGCACTGACCAGCTAGGGTCAGCTGCTTCATCTGGCGATTTAAAGGACCGCAGGCCCCAACCCCTGCCTGCTCACTCCAGCCAAAAATGCCAGGCGAACTTCTCAGACCTCCCTGGTGGCTGTAAAAAGCAACACCCCCAACCCTCAGCAAAGAAAGGCTTGAGCTTTTTAACAGAAATTTAAAAGATTGAATAAAAACTGCATTACCCATTAGCAGGGGTAAAAAGTTTGGACAGATTACATGGAACCCTAACTCAGAATTGATAGGATTGCACCTCCCATCCTCAGCACCAACAACTATTCTTATATATTTCCTGGTCAGTAAACCAGGGGTTCTTTTAACTTTAAAAAAAAATCTACTTATTTATGAAGGCTGAAAGATTCTTTGAGACTTTCTTTATTTAACACATTGTTCCCCCTCAGGGCTGAACTGCAAAAAGGAATTAACTTCCACAACAATTTCTTTCCCCACTAGTTTGGGTGTTTCTGTTCCTCCAGCAAGAAGGACTTAAGCAATTCTACCAATGGATTCAGTGTTACCATTTAAAAAAGGCAAGAGCATTTGACTCCCTACCAGTCTGCTTCTGCTTTCCAAACCAAGGTCTTCTACTCAGTAATTTGTTTTGTTTTCCACTCAGTAGTTTTGAAAACAGACTCAGAGGTTTATCTTTTTTTCCTAGGTTTCACCCTTTCCTGTACTCTCACCTTGTGGGGTTTACACCTTCACCCACAGGGGTCCTTCTCTATTACCCTCTTAAAAGACTGTCCAGGGCTGAACCAATGAAGGACAAAGGAAAAAAGAAGACAGAAAAAAAACAGAAATGTGTTCCTCCTTGGGACTTTTTACCCGGCTGTTTCTACTATTCATACCTCAAGACCCAGCTTAATCAGCATCTGTGGTTTTCAAGTTTAAGTTCAGGAACACTTCTGCAATAGAACAGTGATTAAAATATTTTCCCTCCCTGATACCTAAATGACCTACAGCTAACTGCTCAAGATATCTGTCAAACTCACCATCCACCTTGGATTTAAGGCTCTAATTTATGTGCTGAGGATACAGCTCAGTGCTGTATCCTCATATGTGCAGGGCCCTGGGTTCACCAGTACTGCAAAAAAAAAAAAAAAAAAAAAAAAGACTGATTTGCACCAACACTGTGAACCTATCAGAAGCTTTAAATAACTGTATGGACAGAATAAGGGATCTCTTTGGAAATTTGTTGAGCCTGATGAATTCCTAATAGGCCTGTGTTTGCTGGTCATATTCATAATAAAAGAAAGTGTTAATTTCCATTAGCAGGTTATAGAAGGAAAGAATTTTTTTCCCTTCTAAGTTCATGAACCACTTGAATTTGAAGCAGTAACTCTATGGCACCCAAGGATAAGAAGCAGAAGTTTTATAGACATAGATTGGTAGTCTACTACACACTGTCTCTCACTAACTCTGCCCTTGAAAAGTTCTGAATATTGTCTATGACTTTTCGTGCAGGCAGCAAAAAAGGCAGACACATCTGATTCAGCCAAAATCACTGACAGTATCCTGGCCCCATGGAGCTCCTTCCCAGATGCAGCCTTCTCTTGAACCACTAAAAACATCTGGACTCATCCCGGATAAATGCTTCTTGAGTAGTTAGGGGTCAGTCGACATGCAGGTCATTGAGGTTGCCTGATTCTTGCAAGTTCTTTGGAGCCATATGGTCCATACCTCGGTTGGCTAAACATAGCAATGGGACCAGACATTCTTTTACAAGGGCATTTCCCCAGAGACAGTGATAGGGAAAAAATAAACTCTTTTGTATCCATTAATATTTACAGACAAGGGATGTTGGGCAGTTGCATTGGGTTCTTTAAGGTGCATCTCTAAAATCAGCCTTGAAGCATTATCTAACTAAACACGTGACAGGTTGTGGGGCATCAATATCTGGGAGGTATATTTTAGTTTTCAGAGGGATCCCTTTGGGATTTCATGAAACAAGGGTCTTGGGTTTCAAGAGTCAGTAAGTCAGGCAGTAATAGCATGTTGTCCTCTCACTACTCCTTAGAATTTTTCTTTCAGGAACTTATGTCACTGCACTTGCCTCCAACACCCAATGCTTAACTGGAGAATTCTCTTCTTAAGCTTGGCTAGTATTATAGTATCATCAGGTCCACTGTCTTCTTGATTTGTAGAGAAAAGAAACAACTGCAGCCTGGAAGTCCTTAGCAGATGTAAAAAAAAGAAGCACTGAAAGCTTTAAGGGAACAGAACCAAACACCACACCTCAAATATCCCACAGGCAGCCAGGTGTGGTGGCACACATCTGTAATCCAAGCACTCAGGAGGCTGAGGCAGGAAGATTCCTTTGAGTTCGAGGCCAGCCTGGGCTACATAGTGAGTTCAAGACTGGCCTGAACTATATAGGAAGACCCTATCTCAAAAAATAAAAGACAAACAAACAAAAATTCCCTTAGTCTCCAGACCCTCTGTGAACCAGTGCCCAGAATTATGCCCTAGGCACTTTTTCTCAGTACAACAAGACCAATGCAATGGCATAAACAAGTGATTTTCTAGTCCTACTTTCTAGAAATAGGGCACTTGGTGGCCTACCATCTGCCAGAGCTCCTCACATTACAGTACTGGCTCAAATGCCTGACCTCTCTCCCTTGGAAAAAAAACTGGAGGAGATTATAAATCAATAGCTGGGCCTTTTTTCCATTTTGGTCTTTTAAGCAATGTTAAATGAGGATTATTTGTTGCAGATTGTGTCTAGATTATGGTCTCAAGAATTGAGGGCCACTACACAGCCTGACCAAGCAGTCTCTGTGATCTGAATGTTCTGCTCCTAGATCTGTAGCCATTTGTTCAGTTCTTTTTTCCTTGTTTTTGGCCTTGTTGGCACCAAGAAGGAGGATCATGTTTTTTAGAGGCTACTCAGAAACAGACTTTGGGATTCTTGCAGTGGGAAGTGTCTCTTATGAAAAGAGTAACTTAAACCCCAGAAGCCTGCCCATTTGTTCAAGCCTAAATTGTGCAAAGGAGATGAGCGCTAACAGAATTTTGGAAAGAAAGTAGGAAATTCTTCTTTACTATGGAAACATGAGCCTTAATCATCATTAAAAGAACTGAATATGAAAGAAAATATACTTGGATAGAATTTAATTTCCAAGCAAGGTTTCTACAAAATGTCTTTTGACAAAAGATTAGGAAACACTGTAAAAAGACATTTCAAAACAGCAGAATCAAAGAATCAAAACAACTGAATTTACATAATAACCACATCTTTCTTGCTACTTTTGCATTCACATCATCCCAATAAATAATAAGAAGAGAGTTCCTGAGCTATTCCCTTAACTTTTTTGTTAAGAAGGTTGCTTTGCCTACCAACAAGGGAACATCTTGGAGGCAACAATTAGCTAGTGGTATGTGGGGTTGAAATGAGAGAAACTAGAAGCCTGGAAGGGAAAACATCCAACCCTAAATCATATGCTTATTTTAAATGGAATATTAAATTAAATTCCTCACAATGAAGGTATTCCTGACAGAGAGGCTGTCAGTCACTCCCTGTTCGTTCAGACACCACATTGTGGGAATGTAGTCACTGCCACATTGCAGAAGGCTGGTGTCCCTGGTAAAGATGATGCATATCATGTAAACCCCATCACCAAGATCAAAGTCTGCTTCTTTCATGGAAGCCAATACATGTCAACCCTCATTCCAATCAAATCGTCTGGAAATGAATTCAAGATGAATATGTCATAGAATAATGTGACAGTGGAATTGCAGAAGGTCAGGGGTGATTGTTTCAATGAAAGAGTCGTCAAATATTAATTCTAGCACGTCCAGATGAGTAGGCATTGAGGGGGATTAGCTGGCTGCTGGTGGGATGTTGTGTCATTGATTTGTGTGCTAATGTATCGAACACCAAGGTGTTGTTCTAAGTTTCATTTCAACTAAAGAAATACACCCAAACTCAAAACTAAGCACAACTAAAAGAGGAAAAAAAAGCTTTTTACATATACAAAGCAAAAACAAAAACAGAAGTCTCACTCCTTCAGTAAACATTTCTAAAAGGATTTTCACTTACTCGACTCTTTCAGGGTGTTTCGGTAAAGCCTCAATCGTTTCCTCATCACCAATGAGGTCTTGTATCTCATTTTCTGATTTTGAGCCTGTTAAGGAAGAAGTGAGGGACAGTCACTGAACAATTCATAGGTGTTTCTACAGCAAGAATCTGTGGCCTGAACACGGAATGAAAGAAGATGTTGGTCTGAAAAAAGTCTTCCAGGCTTTCTTTGACCGTTTTCAAATTTGGAAGCTAAGAAAAAGAACTCTGCTGGAACTGCTCATATTTATTGCAAAATGATATGTCCTTGATAACAAAAAATATAATTTTCCAGCTAGACTTTCACCTGAAATTCGTGTGTTGCTCTGCCTTGCAAGTGGAAGTAAATACTCTTTTGGTCAGTGTTCAAAAATCTATGACTTCCAGAATTTGAAATTATTGTATGAGAAGATCTCATTATTTATTCAGTTTTATTATTGAAGCCTAGTGAGGTATGGTGAGGAAGTCCTCAGCTCTCCAAGAGGTTAGTTAGTAGGTTAAAATCTTAGTTGTATGTGTTGGAACCGAGAAAAGACAAAATTTCTTTGCAGTTTCATTTCTTGCTCTGTCTATGGTGGTGTGGAATCCTTTAGCCTCAGATGACCCACACCCCCCAGGCCCATTTAGGAGCCACCATTGGTTAAATTTTTAAAGTTAATTTATAATTCACCAGATTAAAAAAGTACAATTTGGTCCAGGCTACCTCTGTTTTACAGTTGAGAAGGTTGGAAGTAACACCCCCTCCTCAAGATATATGCACTACTTGTCAGTGGCTAGAGCTACCAAGCTTTTGGCCATTAGAAATCCATAAAAGCATCCTGAGGAACTCTAGCTGAAGGCAGTGGAGGAACCAGAGGTGGTCCACCAAGTTCCAACGCTCAATTTGCCCTAGAAAGACAAACAGTCATTCAAAAGGTCTCAGGCTGGACAAACAGAGCAAGCCCTCTGTCAATGAGGACTGTCTGCATGTCTCGACACTAGCCCACAGAACAAGCAGTTGTTTAACTTGTTGAACCACAGGCCAAATCCAACTGGGACTCTGTTATCTCAAAGGGTATCCAGTTCCCTATGTTCAAAGATCTTTCTCTGTCCCCTGCACCCCCAATCTGCACTGTAACTTGCTTAGTTGTTTCCATCCTCCCCTCTCCCATCTTTTCTATGTCCACTCCTGAGACGTGGTAGAGGTAAACTCACCTTTTCCCAGAGGATTTTATTTAGTTTCAGTTCTTTCCCCAAAGTAATAGCTCCTTCCAGCACAGATCAGGAAAGAAAGGAGACCCAACTTTGCATTCTTACAGAAAGGCAGCATGCTGGGTGTCCTCGGTCTGAAATTTCCTCGTGGCAGGGTATCTGGCATGGACAAACCCTGGTTGGTTGGCAATAATAGAATTTACTTTTTTGCTTCTGAGGGAAATGGGTGTGAGGTTCCCAAAAGACCTCTGTCTACCCACTTCTGCCCCAGCCCAACTTTTAATAGGTCTGGGTCCCTTCTGCACCAGGTCTTGTCAGCCCTTTGAGCATTACAGACTGTTCTATAGGTGTGCAAATAAGTGTTGCAGAGGTCGGACAAGGGCAAGTAACAGAGGCCTTGAGAAGCTTGAAGCAGCTCAGTTACCTGGCCTATGCAGAGAACCCGGTAAACATCTCTTTTGGTTCTAATTCTGACACCACTTAGCAAGCTAGTCATCTGGCTCAGTTAGAAGGAGTGATAAAGCTTGAGAACTCCTGGGCCCCTAGACCTAAGGTCCCCAGGATATAGGAGCCTGGAGCATGGCTAGGTTTGATTTTCCTCAAATGCTTGCTCCTGACTGGGTCTTCCTACATCAGCCGGCCAGGCACCAAATAATTTGGGAGCACATCCTGCGGTCACACTGGAACCTGCCTTCCACCCTAAACCTTGAGAAGAGGAAAGGGTGTCAGGGACCCTCAGTGGGTAATAGTGCCGGAGGAGAGCCAAAAAAGTAGGGCAGTAGGAGGTGCAAAAGGGACTATTTAGGGCGGGAGAGGCCACACGTAGTGGGGCCGACCTAGTTGCCACAGGCCTGCCCAAGGTCAGAGGTCAACCGCAGCTAGTGGTTTCAGTTCCTGAGCCTCCGGACTCTGGTTTAAGTGCAGGCACGCCTTTGCCACCATGCCTGGCTCTTCCTTACAGCTCAGCCCCAGCGGGCGCTGAGCAACAGCCCTAGAGGCCGGCTGAGAGCTACGGAGCCAAAGAGGAAACCTGCGCCTGGCCGCTGTCTGCTGTCTCCCTTCGCCAGCTGCACTCTGCACCTCTCTGGCTACCCTCTTTGGAGCCCTGAAGCTCCCGGAAGTTGAGCTGGGAGACTGGGTTTTGCGGAAGACCTGTTCTCTTTCTCCAGGTGTCTAGAGGGAGGAGCTCGGATTTCCAGGAGCTCGGTGCTGAGGGCTGGGCAACCTCTAGGTGTCCAGGGTAAAGTTTCTATCAGTGGGTCACCTACAGGTTCCCCAAATGCAGGCGCCTGAGATAGAGGAGGGAAACCGGTGCAGCGGCGGGGTCGCTACCAGGCCAATACTGTCGGAAAGGTAGGAGAAATATGACCTGGTAATCCAAAAGGAATTTCTTGCAGGCGACGCTTGCCGGCGGAGACTTAGCCCTCCAATGCCTCCTCCCCATGTTTAAGACTTCGCAGACTCCCAGCTGTCCCTGTGGGGCATTAGTCAACCCCAAACTTTCGAGCTCAGCTTTCGAAGTAGTGCTGACTCCTCGGTTCACAGCCCAACTCTATTTCCTTTTTACTTGCCCCTAACTTCCAGTGCCCCTGGGTCTAGCGTGGCGGTCAGAATCCTAGAGGCTGCGGCCTGCTCCCCAGAGAACTGGTTGCAGCTCTCACATCCGAGAGAAAGAAAGCCCAGTCCAGAATCCACAGCCCGCAGCTCTCTGACAGCGGAAACCCAGCGGTCAGCGCATGACCAGCGTGAGCGAGGGCACCGAGCCGGCCGCAGCGGAGCAGCCCGCATCCTCAGCCGGGATGAGAAGTTCCCTCACGGTGTTGCCAGCCCCTCTAACTTGGCTTTTTGACCCTCGGGAGAGCAAGCCGAGATTCCCCGGAATCCCTGTAGAGGCTTGGCAGAGAAGCTACCTGTGAGGACCGCCCCACCCCCGGCTTCCCAGCACCCACCCTGCTCTCTCCAAGCGCAGGGGCCCCTGTGCCCTTCTTATGCCCACGGTGGGGCAGCCAGGCAGTTTACAAGGAAGGGAGGCGAGACAGGCGGGCAGCAACTACTCTCGGTAGGAAATCCATTGGTCCTCCCTGCGCCCCCTCCTCCTGAGAGGAAGGGATGGACTCTTCCTCAATACTGCCCCCTCTGTGGAAGGGCCCCCTCCTCCCCTTGGAGTCAGTGGGGGTGGGGCCTGTATCAGAGGTTGGGGGGCAGTGAAGGAGGAGATGGGGAGAAAGTCTGGCTGGGACCCTTCCCCCAGAGCGGTTTGGGTGCCCCCACAAGAACACTTGCTACGATGCTGCTGGGATACAGGTCTCTCGTCTCTGCCCCCTGGACTTCAGTACTTACCCTGCTCCACCTGTTGCCAGGATCACCTCATTTCTGCACATCACTTCAGTGTAGCTGAGGGGGGACCTCAAACCCCTCCAAGCCTCTCTTTTGTGGTTCCATTGAGGCGGTCATCCTTCATGTCTCCTTTGCCAGCTTTCAGGAAGCAGTTAGGGAATGTATGATGAAGCAGAAATGAGCCGTCAGGATGATATTTTAATGGCTTGTATGTCACGTTGGTGCATGTGGCTTTGAACTGGAGCCGTTTGCGTTTCCTGCAGAGAGCGCCGCAAATCCCACTTGATAACTTCTACAACCCACAACTTTTTTTTTCTCACATTCACTCTTACCCTATATATCTGGATGGGTTTCCTAAAAATACCCTCTTGTCAACGTCCCCGTTGGATTTTCCACAGACTGGAGAAGAGAAGACTGACTTTTCTGTTTTGAAGAATTATTTTTCCCTCCCCCTCCCAACGGGTACCCTTCCCCCTCAGGACCCCTCCCTTGGTTTTTTTCTTTTTTTTGAAAGGCAGACGAGGTAGGTTCAATTTGTTCTCCCCAGTGACAGCAGTAGTACAGCCTCTAGAGAAAACTTCTCTTTGCATATAAGGTTTTCTCAATTCTAGTATTCAACTTCCCATTGTAGGTACCAGAAATTATTGAGTGGCTCTAATATTTCTTTTTTATATGCAAAATATATAATATATTTTTAAACATGCTCAAAACCCTTTCCTCCTCTCCTCACTGAGTTCCATTCAAAGTTAGTAGAAAATGCTGGGCTGCTGGACTCAGACTTGTTGCCGGCGACAGAACATTTATAATTTTTTTTACACTTTCTAGAATTCTCATTCCCCAGCACAAATATTCAGCCAGATCCTTTCAGACACAAGGAAACCATATCAGACACAAAACCTGACTTTTGAGTGGAGAGAGCATAGGGAAGGAGCAGCCCAGCTTGACATCCCCAAACCAGAACCTAGTCCTGGAGAAGACCAGGAAAGCAGAAAGGCAAGGAGTGGCCACTGCGGACCCTGCTTTCTTCTAAGCCTGGGAAGCCAGAGCTGGCGACAGGGGGAAAATTCATTTTCATTTTGCTCTCGCCAGGGCACTGGTGAGTTTCCTAACTGGGTTGCCCTTGAAAGGATGAGTTGAGGTTTCTTTGTCTGGAAAGAGAGTTTAGGGCCCTGATTCAGCTGCAAAGAAGCCAAATGAAGTTAGAAACAAAGGGCAAATTGAAGGATTCCGACTCTTGGCTTTTTGTGTTTTCCTTACTAGAAAATAATTAGACCTAATGAATATGCAGACGCTCCGGCTAAACCCTGGGCTGAGCTGCTGGGTTTTAAACAGAGCTGAGGAGAAATGCAACCTCCCCCCCCCCCGCCCCCCGCACATCTCTGTGCATTTTTTGAAATGCATAAATGTTGCTCGGTTTAATTGATTGAGTCACAGGGATTTTTTTTCCCCCTGCTTTTAAGTGCCATACTCCTCTACCTTTCAACAATCATTTTAATATATAGTCAATGGCTCTTTGTGGATGGGACAAAAAGCAACTACGCGCAGTTTTTGAATAGACTTTGCGCTGGGCAAAGACAGGTTAATCGAGGGCCGCATCGCGAAAACAAGCGAGTGTTGTATGTTTGCACTGAATCCAAATGTCTGCATTTTCCTAACTAAATCAAAGGGAGTGTTATTTCTTTTTCTGCTCACTCATCTGAAGGTAAGTAAATTTTCTCTGGCGATCAAAAGCCTGGTCGGCCACAAAGACCGCGCCCGCTGTTTCCACCGTCCTGGTGTGGCGAGTTTCGGAATTTCAATAACTGTGACAAGGGTGACTGATTCGTGAACTAGAAAAGGTTTGCATGTCACAAAATTTACATTGGTCCTATCTATCCGGGATTTAAATACCAAAAAAGTATTCGGGGATCTCTAGGGAGCTTTGGGTAGCCCAGACAAACAATGGCGCGTTGGGAAATTTACAGTTTTACCTGATTGAAAAGGGCCCGCGATGGGAACAGGAGTGCAGAGGGAGGGGTTAGCGAGGGTAGCCAAGTGTAGGGGGGAGAGACAGAGAAACAGAGAGAGAGAGAGAACGTTTTCAGTTTCCCATTTAAAGAAAAACAAACCAAACCAACAAACCACAATAACCCAGAAAGTTAAGAGCTCTCTAGTCCACCTGTGTCTGTCTGTGTGTGTGTGTGTGTGTGCGCGGGGGGCGTCTGCAAGAAGCCTGACTGATTTGATAAAAGTGAGAAAAATTGAGGCTACCGGTTACACTGAGAGATCATATTTCTAGTAAAGAGAGTGGAGTTCCCTAGTGTTCCCGAGATCTTAAATTATAAACAGGAGAGGGACCAGGCAAGAAGGAAGCAAACTTCAAAAGAAGCAAATAACAAAAGCCTCCTTTGCTGCCCTTGAAGGGAGGAAAAGGGGAAAAGAAAGAAAAGAAAGTTGCTGAATCGGGACATTCTGGAAGTGCCTTTGCTGTGTTTACCAGCCCAGTTCACGCCTCCAGCTCTCAAAGACGCCCGAAGTCTCTACCCTCTAATCGCTCAGCGGTTAGGGGGGCAAGGGAGAGAAAGACAGAGAGGGAGAAACAGAGAGAGAGAGAGAGAGAGAGAAAGAGAAAGAGTGAGGAAGGGAGGGAGAGAAGGAGAGAAGGGGGAGACAGGAAGAGAGAAAGAAGCAGAGGGAGAGAGAATATGACTATGAGACTATGAGAAGGAAAAGGAATCATGGCAAAAAAAAATTCCGTGAGAAGAGGGCAAAAAATTTGGCTAAAAAAAAAAAAAGTTGCTACTCCTGGCAGCCCTGTTTGTCAAAAGGGGATGTCAAGCGCTTTACAATACCTGGGATTGATGAGGCGGGCGGGCCAATGAGCTGCGCGCGGCGCCTCGGCGCGCCCGCCGTTGGCGCGGCGACTGCGGGCGGGGGGAGCGCAGGCGCACCAATCAGCGCCCGCGAGACCAGCACGTGACGCCTCCCCCTGCTCCCATTCATCAAGGGGGGGACGGTGTCGTCCTTTCAATTCATTTATCTGCAGGAATGATTGCTGCTATCAGTCTCGCGCTCACCGCCCGGCTGAGGAGGTGAAAGTTTCTCCCCAGGAAGATAAACCGCAAAAGACAATATTGTGCATGATTTGCGCCTTTTCTTTGCCTTTTTCTTATTCCCCCCCCTTTTTTTTTTGCAAAAAGCTGAGAGGGAAGAAAGAGTAAAGAAGCGAAGAGCCGAGCTTGAGAGAAGAGAGAGAGAGAGAGAGAGAGAGAGAGAGAGAGAGAAAGAGAGAGAGAGGCTGGAGAGAAAGGACGAGGGGTAGTGGAGAAGTGAGGAGGGACGCGCGGCGCGAGGCGGAGAGGGCGAGCAGTCGTGGCTCCGGCGCTCACATCCTCTATGCCACAAATCCGGGAGGAAGTTTTTCTGGGGGGCTGAGATGTTGCATGCCTTTCCCCGGGCAGCCTTGACTCGAGGCCCTCCCGGCAGAGACTGAGCGGTGAGAAAGTGCGGGCCGGGCCGGCGGGGTTTGCGCGGCGGGCGCCGGAGCCCGCCCGACTCGCTGCCCGCAGCCGTCCGGCTTCCCGGAGCTTGGCCGGGCGGGCGCCCGGACGCGCCGCGCCGCTGCCTGCAGGCTAAGACTTCGCTAGGTGGGTCGACTCCCCCTCCCTCCTCCTCTTCTTCCTCCTCTTCCTCCGCCTCCGTTCCTCCTCCTCCTCCTCCCGATTTTCCCTCCTCGGCGGGCGAGGGTGGGGGGGGGCGGGGGAGGCCGGGGCTTGCCCGGAGCAGCCACGATGCTCCTGGACGCCGGCCCCCAGTACCCTGCGATCGGTGTGACCACCTTTGGAGCGTCCCGCCACCACTCGGCGGGCGACGTGTCCGAGCGAGACGTGGGCCTGGGCATCAACCCGTTCGCCGACGGCATGGGCGCCTTCAAGCTGAACCCCAGTTCGCACGAGCTGGCCTCGGCCGGACAGACGGCCTTCACGTCGCAGGCGCCAGGCTACGCGGCCGCTGCGGCCCTGAGCCATCACCATCACCCGGGCCACGTCGGCTCCTATTCCAGCGCAGCTTTCAATTCTACGCGGGACTTTCTGTTCCGCAACCGGGGCTTCGGCGACGCGGCCGCGGCGGCCAGTGCACAGCACAGCCTCTTCGCTGCTTCAGCTGGCGGCTTCGGGGGCCCACACGGCCATACGGACGCGGCGGGCCACCTCCTTTTCCCCGGGCTTCACGAGCAGGCGGCGGGCCACGCTTCACCCAACGTGGTCAACGGGCAGATGAGGCTCGGCTTCTCAGGGGACATGTACCCGCGGCCAGAGCAGTATGGCCAGGTGACCAGCCCGCGCTCCGAGCACTACGCCGCGCCGCAGCTGCACGGCTACGGGCCCATGAACGTGAACATGGCCGCGCACCACGGCGCCGGCGCTTTCTTCCGCTACATGCGCCAACCCATCAAGCAAGAGCTCATCTGTAAGTGGATCGAGCCTGAGCAGCTGGCCAACCCCAAAAAGTCGTGCAACAAAACTTTCAGCACCATGCATGAGCTGGTCACGCACGTCACTGTGGAGCACGTCGGCGGCCCGGAGCAGAGTAACCACATCTGCTTCTGGGAGGAGTGTCCGCGCGAGGGCAAGCCCTTCAAAGCCAAATACAAACTGGTCAACCACATCCGTGTGCACACGGGCGAGAAGCCTTTCCCCTGTCCCTTTCCTGGCTGCGGCAAGGTCTTCGCGCGCTCGGAGAACCTAAAGATCCACAAAAGGACGCACACAGGTATGCAAACTGTTGTAAGAAACCCTTCCTCATCCCGGGCCTGAGACCCGAAATTCCGAAGTCAGCGGCTGGGATCCACAATCCCAGCCTCGTTGGGGTCCGGGCGTCAGGTTCCACCAGGCAGACAGCAAAAATGTGTCCTGATTTTTAGTTCAGGGCTTGAAATTATAGAAAAACAGAGAAAAGACTGCGAATGAGAAGGATCGGGGGTTACAGATTTTTTAAATGAGGAATAAAAAGGTTCTGGAGAACAGGAAGCCAAGCCTGGCTTGTCAGAGCCCTTGACGCACTTGAAACCAGGCGAGGTGGCCGGCTTTCGGCACCGCAGAGGCGCCAGCCACTCCAGCTGCAGACAAACTAAACGCTGGCTTGTGGTCAACACCCCACTCCATGACTTCACTGAGGACTCTGTTGAAAGAAAGGGTGAAAGAAGTTGAGGAGATAGGGTTAAGGGACATAGAAAGGCACAAAACAGAATAAGACCGAAAGAAAAGGGTAGTGATGGAAGGAAGTCCAGTAATTTGGAACTGAGGGGGCCTTTGTACGTTTACGCATATATGAAAAGCCCAATTTTAAGTGAGGGTTTGAGAGAGGGCTTGAGGGGTGAGGGGAGTCGGTGAAGGGCGATAAAGTCTTTTTTTGTCATGCAGATTCCATGGGGGGTGTTTGTAAAACACTGGGTACCCGCGTTGGGCTTTAAAAATAAAGCAGGTGGAGAGGTGTTAAAAAAAAGTTCATGGCAACTCAGAGCTACAAGTTAAGGCGGGCAGGACTCTCTGGGCCCTTTGCACTTAAGAGGTGGGGAAATCGGTCTCCTTCTCTATTTGGGTATGCAGGGGTGATGTCTAAGAACGGGCACTTGAAACTTTCGCTTCAACGCCTAAATTAGGGAAGAATTTGTGGCGCCTAAAGTGTGAATGTTTGTAGGGGGTCGAGTGGGGGAGGTGTGGAGGGGGTACTGAGCGTCGGGGAGGGGATGAGGGGAGGAGAGAAGAGCAAAACAGCAGGGGAACCCAGCCTGGAATAAAACTAGAAACGAGGAGCCAGGTAGAAACAACTCTGAATCAAGTGTATAGCCCTGGGCAGGAAAGCCAGCATTCAGACCTGCGGCTTCTCTGGAAGCTAAAAATCCACCACTACTACAATTATCATCACCAATACAACCTAAAAATAAAATGTAGATCTGATATAATTGGGAGTTGGTTAGGTATTTATATTTCATTGCAGATACATGAATATATTGAAGTCTCGGACTTGTAAGCTTGCAAAGTGCTAAGAGGTTACTGGCCTTTTATTATGTTCTTTTCTTTTCTTTCTTTTTTGTTTTTTTCTCCTATATAAGCTTTAGAAAACGGCCAGGTGGTTCATTCTAATAAGACCCTTCTCTTTCTCGACTTTCGCACCAGGGGAGAAGCCCTTCAAGTGCGAGTTCGAGGGCTGCGACCGGCGCTTTGCTAACAGCAGCGACCGCAAGAAGCACATGCACGTGCACACGAGTGACAAGCCCTATCTCTGCAAGATGTGCGACAAGTCCTACACGCACCCCAGCTCCCTGCGTAAACACATGAAGGTAATCGCGGAGCTCTCGCCGCCCGACTTCGGGCAGCAGCCCTGCGGGCGCTCGGGCTAGAATCAGGCGGGGAAGGGCAGCTGGGCGGCAGCAGGAGCTAGAGGAGCCTGGAAGCCAACTGCTCCATTCTGATGATCAGGGCTGGGCAGGGACTGGAAGAGGGCATTGGAGCACCCAAGGCCGTTTTAAATTCACTGTTTCATAACGCAAATAAAGAGAAGTGAGCGCTTAGCAGAGGCCGCAGATGAATTTGGCTCAGAGCTAGGGAGCCAGGGCTGCAACAGCGCGCTGGCGCCGCAGAAGCTGCCGCCATTACGCCTGGCAGCTTGGAGCCGAAGAGTTGGGGGTCTTGTGGCCAGTCTGAGAGCTTGCTCCCCTAAACCTGGGCAAGCAAAGTTGAAGGAGCGAAGCATTCCAGACTCTGGCCTCCTCCTTCCAAGCCTTCATTCTTTTGCGGGTACCGGGGACGCTGTCCCTCCCTGGAGCGCGGCTTCTGCAGCAGGGCCTTGGAGGGGGAACCAGACCGAGTTCGGGGCGCCCAAAAAGGGACAGGCGTCTGGGGAGGGGGGTGCTGGAGAAGGGGGGCGCTGCCTTCGCTGGCCTGCGTGGCCATCTTGCCTGCTCTTTATCTCCGTAAAAACAAAACTTTATTCCCACAGGTCCACGAATCCTCCTCGCAGGGCTCGCAGCCTTCGCCCGCCGCCAGCTCGGGCTACGAGTCCTCCACGCCGCCCACCATCGTGTCTCCCTCCACAGACAACCCGGCCGCCAGCTCCCTGTCGCCCTCCTCCTCCGCGGTGCACCACACAGCCGGCCACAGCGCGCTCTCTTCCAATTTTAACGAATGGTACGTTTAAAATCAGAAACAAAACACCGAACAAAACACTGTTTCAGAGACTGAGCACACGCGTAGACACATTATTGAAAGAACCCTGCGAATCAGAGCAACACCCCGCAACACACAGAGCCCGCAGTCCTGTTTTGTTTTAAATCTGCCAATAGACTCAGGACCGAGGGAGAGAGAGGAAGCATCAGACCTTCTTAAAACGTTTCCCTTTCCTTTCCTTTCCTTTCCTTTCCTTTCCTTTCCTTTCTTTTTTATTATTATTTTCCCTTTTTTTTGGCAAAGGCTTGGTAGCCGAGGTGCGGGAGTGGGGTCGGGGAGGAAGAGACCGCCTGACCAAATGCCGCCAACCCCAAGGGCCAATTTCTTGTTAGATTGGGATAGGCTTTCTGGGGATTCGGCTTTTTTTTTTTTGCTTTGCTTTGCTTTCTTGTAAATACAGAATTATTAGCTTCAAACTGTTCTGTTGGATTCTGTAAATAGTTCTGTCTCGGTTGGAGCGGGCGGGTGGGATCGTGGCGTTATGGTCTTTGCATTGGGGAGGGG